GGCCAGTTTGGCTGTGCCCCCTCCCAGCTTCTTGTGCACCTCCAGCCTTCTCAGTCGGTAGAGCGTGGAAAACTAAAAAGTCCTTGGCTAGTGTAAGCATTACCTAGCAACAACTAAAACATCGGTGCGTTATCAACTTTGTTCTCATCCTAAATCCAAAACACTGTACCAGCTATTAGAAAGGAAATTAACTGTATCCCTGCCGAAACCAGGACACCCGTTCAAAATCATCTTAGGTAAAAAAATCTGAATTTTCCTAATACTTTTAACAGTTGTCAACTGATAGCAATGGATTTTTGACAAAATTTGAACCTAGGTCTCTGATAATTGTGCTTTTAAATGTTTTGATGAAAAGCTCCACAGGAGTATTTATTAATTAATACGGGACCTCTGAGATCTTCATTACAAATAAATACTGCCCAGGGAGGTTAACCGTGGTGAGGTCAGGAATCGGACGAAAGCCTCGTCTGTGCGGGGAAGCTGGAATGCAAACCACACCAGAGCAGAGAGTCCCTTCTCAGGCAGCTCTCAAGCAAAAAGGATCTGCCACATTTCACCTTCAGAGATCTAACTGAATATAACCCAGGAAAAATAGCTACATTTTCAAGATTTTCAGAGCTATTCAGTGACCCAAATGAAAAATCTCTACCCACACCACAGACAATCTGAAAATATCTCAAATTACCTTAAAATATTTCAACATCCTAGCTCTGTGGAGGAGGCATTTACACCGGCAGCCCAGCACGTGCTACCTTTTGGCTGACGCCACCTTTTTCTTTTAAATCACTGATGAAATCTGCCTGGTAGAGGTTGAGAAAGGAGTCAAGCAAGTCTGGCTGGGTAGGTTACAGCTCCCTGCCTCGGGGGAGGAAAAAATGTAAATTCTCAAGAGCTTCCTAAGCACAGAGGGGGCCTTCAAAATGTTCTGGTCATGTCTTGATTAAGGTATATTTTTAGGACAGCGTAAGGAAACCTATAGGGATCCAGTTCTGCTATGCAAGAGGTGTCATCCACTTAAAAATGTTGTTTGCAGGACAGACTTGCAGGAGATAGATAGATAGCATATCAATGCCCCGCCACACAGAGCCTCTGTATTTCACTGGAAGGCTTCAGAAGTATGTATATGCCTAACAAATGCAAGTAACATAGTGTGCCTCCCATGAGATGATAATTAATTTTGAAGAAGACACCAACCTGTTCCAAGGTATTTTTACAGCACCAAGCGCGTGCATTTGTACTGTCCCAAACCACCATCCTGCAAACACTGTGCATGCACGTGACTTCACACGCAGCAGCAGCAGCAGCAGCAGCAGCAGTTAAAGCAAGAGGCAGAGCTCTTCACTGACATATGGAAGCATTAAATACACAAGATGTTTGAAGCCTCAAGCTCTAAGTAATTAAATAACAACCTACCATCTCCATGGTGCTGGCTGGAGTCAGGAAGAAATCCCTTAAATTCAGAAAGTAACCCTCCAGTTGTCCAATTAACAGAAGTAAGATAACTCCATCTGCAAACTGGATGAAGAATGATCTGAATATTATTTATTACGTTGGCGTTTAGTAAATTACTCCGATAAATGCCATTCTAGCGATAAAGGAATTTAAATGATACTCTGGCAAGCAGACAGCCTAATGACTCAGCTCCCTCAACCCCTTCTACAGTGAACTTCGTATTTCGTTACATAAGGCTCGCAAGTTCATATTAGTAAAAATACGACCTTGTAAAAGGACAGCTATTAAAACAAACTGTTCCAGATGTGAAGAGACTTCAGACGACCACAAGTGACAAATGCGTAAGTATAAATAAAAGAAAACTGTGCCTAGTGCCTGACATTTACGACAAAACACTTGCAAAACTTCCTTTCTCACAGTTGCCCACCAGGAAAACCCAAAAGAGCACTGGAGCACGGCTCCGCTTTTCATCCGTGCAGCATAAATTGCAGGAACCGCCACTGCGCTGAGGTTTTGAATGCCTGGAGCAAAGCAAGAGCTGTGGGCTGATTTCTCCCACAGTTATTGCGTGCGCGTCTGCAGAAGCAGGGAAAGAGAAAGCCATGAGGGACGTCCCCGAGCTCATTTGCCATCACTCGCTCGCTCCCCGGAGAGGCGCGGGGGGGATGCTGCACCTCCCTGGCTCTGCACGAGCCGCCGTCCACCCTCCCCAGAGGCAGCGGCAGCAGAGGAGGACAGCAGAGGTGCGGTTGTGCCTCTCTTCACCGGCGCCCACGGAGGTGATCCCAAGGTGCCTAATGAGCACTTCTCTTCCAATTTCATGGACTCTAAAGAAGCTTGACGTTCAAAGGATGGGACTTTGAAATCTAATGAAAATCAGGCCTTCCTACCATGAAGCAAATCCAGCATTAAAAATCACTAAGCACCAGCAATCAACCTGGCTTTCAGTTTAATTGTCAGAGCACCTTTATTTCCATCCCGACAGAAAGAGCATCTATAGGAGTTGGGCAGACTCCCTGTAGCATTACAAGGGCAGCATTCGATACAAAGCTGTATTTTTTCATGACTTATTAGCTTCAGAAACTTCAGAGACTGAAGCCTGATATCTTAACCTGAAGCTAGAAATATTTGTTATGTTGCCAAGTTTCAAATTACTACAACAAAAAGGAGGAACCCTAATGGTGAAACACCCAAATGGCTGACAAAACACAGTTAACATGCAGCGTAGAGCAGGCTACCTGAGATTCGATGTCTTTCACATTTAATCCTAATTTTCCAACATGCTGGTTGACAAATTGCAAAAATACCTAAATAAAACAGAAGGGGAGGAGAGGGTGGAAGAAAAGATAACTTTCTTCAGTGAAGTCATGAATTATGTTTTAACTTACAAATTTTGATGTCTATTAAAAAAGTAAATTACCTTTTTTACAGCATCCAGTTTATCTGGAGCACGGCTAAATAATTCATCAAAGGCATCATCTTCTGTATCAAAACAACATTAATTGGTATTATTTGGAATAACTGTCAGATCAGAGGTTTAAAGTGGCTCCAGAAGGAGAAAGGTGTTCACACCTTATAAGCCAAGGAGGAAAAGAGTCGAAGGGAGATGGGGAAAAATCCTGCTTTTGTATTTGTCAAAGGACAGGGCAATAGGCTTCCCTTCAGCCTGACTACATCAGAGAAAACAATTTACTTCATTCAGCTCTGCAATTTTCGCCTGCAGAGGTTCTCAAGATTTGTGCTGCCACCAGACTGAGCAGTGGCTAAGTTTTGCATCTCTACAGTTTATCTCTTTTCAGTTATGTTTTTTTAACCCTGAACCTCTGGGATAAAATACTGTAAGCAGAGAAGAAGAGCTATACATTTTACTGCTCTCCCCAACAGAAACATCAGTTACATCAAATTTGCAGAAAAACAGCCCCCTTCCTTCAAAAAACCACAAACTAGATATTGGGTTTGGAGACACTGCCCTTCCTCTGAAAATTCACGGACCTCAAAAATGACCGGCGCTGCCATCCAGTTTAAAAGCAGGCACTGAGCCGGTGCCAGCAGTGCTGCGCCAGAGAACTAGCACAAGTTTAAAGATTTTCAAGGAAATGAGATTCATCGAAGTCCCCATGAACGCCCACCCTCACCTCCATTTTCTGCCCAGCTTTAGCGAGAGCAGGATACATCTCCTCATGGTAACCTGGCCACAAGACTGCTCTGCTTCAAGCATGAACAAAGCCTTTGAAACACCCTTAAAAATCAAGGGCACTCTGGCAGCATAACTAAATGAGGAACCAGTTTCTACGGTGCAGGAAAGCAAAGGCAGCTTTGATTAAGGAGGATTCCTCCCAAAAGCCAGCGGCAGAGAAGCCTCCGCTGCAAAAGGGTTTCCTCGGGTTTCTCCGTTCTGGTAGGGGGTTGCTGCACGAGCAATGTCAGTGAATCCATCAAACAAATCACTGAGCAACAGTCTAAAACCTGCAACAGTCTTGCAAACTAGAGAGCCCTCTTCTGGAGCCACGCTTTGGGATATCTCTCTTTGTTAAGCAAGCTGTGTTAAAAATAGACAGAGGCAGCATTTTGAAGAGTGAATTGCCGATTTCTCTTTCCAACAGAATCAGCCCACTGGAAGAAATACCTAATTACAGGTTTTTTTCACAATTTCAGCCCACACTAGAGGCCACTCAGTGGAATAAGTCATAAATATGTATTAAATGATATAGTTTGCACCTCTGCAGAGGATGAAAATGCTAACATAAAGGGCACAGCAGAGAATTAAAACGGTTGCCTTGATTCACTGGGGGTGCAACGCGCTCCTTTGCAGCAAGGAAGAGCAGCTCACGCTGAAGCCTGAGCAGTACCCAGGCCTTCTGCAGGCTCTGTGCCCATGGACATTTTTCACCTCAAGTGTTTCACAGCCCTCAAAAGCCCTAAGGGTAAAGTCTCGGGGGACATTGGTTTTACTGAGCTGCCGTCCATAATCGAGCACCAGTAGATTTCAAAATCTCACTTGTAAACTGCAGAAAGGAAACTACATTGAAACTGGTAGCAACAAGAAGCGCAATTCTCAAGTCTTTATGCTTATAAATAGTTCCAACAGTGAATGAGGTCAAGGCATAAATCCAAGACATACTTCGTCCCCCAGCCAGATCTCCTCTGTTGGGTTATCAACCCACTGTATCATTTCTTGTCTTATCTCCCATCTGTTGCCTGTAGTCCATGGGCAAAGTGACCACCCAATTTCCAAACTATATTGTGTTGATATGAACACACATTAACAGAAGACAGGGGAAATTCATGAATCTCCATTAACTCTAGTGGGAGCATACTGATTTTATCATGAGGTAAAAATGGATCAGAACATGGTGTATAACAGCACATAATAGCGAAACACTGAACTTGGCAATGCCAGTACTTACTTGACTGCGCTTCTAAATTCTCTCTAAAAGTGCAATAAAAAAAAAGAATTAGAAAAAGCATTCAGCAGAACTAATCTTATTCATAAGCAAAGCTTATCTGGGCCATCAGCTGTCTTGTAAAGCAGGAGATACAGTACAAAGTGCCATTAACTTTATGTCAGAGTAACTTTCCAACAGACATTTTTAAGTACACTGTATATCTGTATAGGCTTTTGGAAGTATATGAGTATATTTTAACTGGCCCACAGACCAATGAACATTTATTTTACAAGCACAATCCATAATACCCTCTTCCAATAAGCTGCTCGTGATATTAGAATTTGAAGATGTTCTAGCCTATAAAAGATGATAGTAGGAAAATCTGTTTCTAGTGCTTGGGATGATGTCTATATTTTCTCAGTTTATAAATGGTATCCTACTGCTTAACTCCTTTAATAATGACAGCACCTCACAAATTCAGCTAGCTCAAACTGAAGAACTGCCTCCTTTCTCTTTATTTAATGACACAAGAGCAATAAATTAACAGTAAATTTAAACCACTATGGCTTTACAAAATTTCCAGTTTAGTCTGGGACAGGTAAATTTACAGTACTGGATTTTTTTTATTATATTTGTTATTATATTTCATGGCAATGACAAACACTAAGCCTCAGAAATAGTCATACACATTATTTTAGAGAAGTTTATATAAAGAATAAAGCAGAAGGGTATTATACCATAATATCCAATCTGGAGAAGGGGGAAAAAAAGGAAAAAAAAAAGGAAAGAAGTCAGAGACACAGTTCACATGCATATGCATGCCTGGGTTTACGCTTTTTATCATCATCATGATCCCAGCTATTTTTTCTAAGGGGGAAAACACCCACAATATTTTCTTTCTGACTGACAGTGTAAAAACCAGATATATCCCCTCTTACTTGTTTTCTGTGATATATTCCACCCCACTTGCTGTCTTTAATCCTCTGGAGGTGTTCTGTTAAAAAGACAATAAGTATTTTTGGTTTTGTTACACAAAAAAAAATAACCTGAAAGCATTAATGAGGCTTTCATGAACTGTTTGCTGCCTTAAATGATTACCAGAGGGCATTTATTCAAGAAGTCCAGTACAATTAGTACAGGCACTTTGAGAGCTTGCTGCTCCCTTCTGCTCTCTTCACTCTTCAACCAGAAATTACCTACTTCCCCATCAGAGGAAGCCAAAGGAGAAGCACATGGTCCCTCAGCTGGTGAAGTTCAGAGGCTGGCATGTTTGCCTGCAGACTGGATGAATGCATCAAGCTGCTTTGGGCAGGCAGCGATTTCCTTGCACACCTCACTTGCATTAAGGACTCTTCAGTTTTACAGCACTGGAGGTGGTTACCTCTGCCTCATAATAACCTCACGGCATGCCCTGCCACCCATCGATGAATCCTCCCCGCAGAGGACTTAGGTTTGGTAGGTTGCTTAGATTTAGTCTCCACATAGCATCAGAAAAACACTGCTTCAACTCAACTGACAGTCTAAGAGACAGGAGAGGATGGGCATGCCTGCTGCTTTATTCAGGCACCTGGCAAACATCTCTTATCCCAGAGAAGTCTTTGATGTTTGCTGCTCTCCCCTTTTATGCAGTGAAAACACCCTCGGTTTACATACAGAGTCAACTCCTTCGGGCCGACTCATGGCTGAAGAGGAGCACACCCAGTCCCACCGGGCAAAGGCAGGTCCTTCCTGTGGGCGTGCGTTGCAGAAAGGCCAGGCCTTCTCTGCTCTCCTTTGGGCTTCTTCAACATTTCCCCCTTCCTGCTCTCGGCCCCTCTTCTGAGCCTGTGCCTTCACGGGCTTTCCTCACTTTTGGCCTTACGACTGCCGTTCCCATTGGGGCATCAATTTCTCCTACGGGGAATCAGCTCGCTACCACAACCCCATTATCTCCATTGCCGCTCCTCTCTCTCAGGGTTAACAGCCCTTTCCGACGCTGCGGTTTCACAGATAATCCCTGCAATTTCTGCGCAGCTGAGGCACTCGCAGCCCCATAAGGCACTAGACGGAGGGCTGCTTTACTCGGAGTCTGGGTTGTCACTGGTGAGACCCACACGACAGAAGCATCTGGCTGTGGGCAGCAATGCGCAATTTGGACTCCCATTAGATACCAGAGGGACCACTCCTCTGCTGAAGCGCTCGGCTGGGACGGGGCCACAACGGCTACCTTTGCGGGACCAAGTCCCAGAAGAAGCTGTCCCTCCAGGACAGTTTTAAACCTCCTAAAGTGACATACATAGCTCAAGGGCATGCTTCGTTTCAGTTCCAGTTATGATCCTTCAAAGAGGGAAGAGCGCTAGGTCATGTCATACAGACTGTGTGCTGGGCTCCCAACACCGCTGAATTGCAACCCCTCTGTTAAAACTGTAACACAGTGGTGCTAATTTTTGCAGTTGTATCCCAAATTGTTGGATATTTGATGTTCTCCTGAAGTCCCAGAGTTGACTTTAAGAAACAAAATAGAGGAAGAAAGCATGCGGACCTCAGCTTGTAGAGAAAAATACCAAGATGTGACCTCAATGGAGGGGGAGCAAAAACTCCCTTTCCCTAAAGAAATAAATCCTCAGCATTAAACCAGTGTCACGATTTATGAGTGCAGGCTTCTATTTAAAAACATTTAGAGATAGTAACAGCAGAATTTCTTCTTTTTCTTCTTTACAGAGATCAACAGCTGTTTTCAGTTTGGACTACTCCTTTTTTTTGATCAAGGAGAAAAAACAGCATAGTGTTTCTACCCTTTTAAAGATACAGCATCTGAACTGAGTCCAGCAAACTCAGAAATTAAAAGGCATGGTTCACACAAAATACAAGTATCTCATTCACAGCTGCACACACATTTCTCCCTAATTCTAACCAAACTAAGTCTTGTGAAAGGTCTCTAGGATCTACTGTAAGAAATATTAAAACTATAATTACCTCAATGGTGATTGTTTCCACTTGAACATTTGGAGGCATGGCCAGGTTGGGTTGGAAGTGCTTTGCTATTGCAACCAGAAGATGGAGTGTGCTCAGTAAGTCCTTTGTCAAGATAGCTATTTTGTGTAAAGAAAGAAAACAATGTTTAGTGTGCAAAACAAGTAAATCTCACTCTAATATCCTAAATTCTGCCTGTGCAGAGGATCCTGAAGGCATGGAGGACCACAACACAGGTGGGACATCAGATTGGGGTTTATATAATATGACAATCCAGCAATACCACACCTTAGAAGTCCTTTTTGTGAGACATACACACAAATGCTGAGGGCTGCTAAGTGGTCCATAAGCCACACACTTAGAGGATGCAGCTTGCATGGCCCAGTCAGGGTCAGATATTCCTGTCTCACTTGTGATTCAACTAGTAATTGAAAAAAGGTTGTTTAATTACTGCTCTGGCACCCCTTTGCCTCATAGCAGCCTTACAGCAGAGGAAGCCCTGTGATGGATAATTTTCTCCAGTTTCACTTCTGCACCTACATTCCACACTCCATTTCAGCTGACTTTCTTCCAGTTGCAAACGCTTAGCCACAGCTTCCAGAATCACAGAGAGTTTCTGACGCTGTTTTTTTTCTGTTAATGCAATCTTGTCAACATCCAGCTTGAGAGATCCTAGGTTTTCTTTGACAGAGAGTCCATATGAAGGAGAAGGATGTATTTTAACACCACCGCAGGAAAAAAATAAAAATAAATCAGAAACATAAAATGACAGCAAAGCACACAAAGTCTTGTTTTAAATGCTTGATACCACTTAACAGCTTCCACAGACCCACATCTCACAGCTGTATGCCTTGTTAAACTCCTGCACTCTCTGAAAGCCTCAGTAAAATCAGTGAAGCTCTGCAAAAGGGAGAGGACTCAAGTCATTCCTTGCAGCATCATCCCCCAACCCTAGCACTCCATGTTCCTCCTTTTCCACTGGAAGCTACAGGAATCCAACGAGTGAATCTTTCCTGTAGACAGTGCACAAAGGTGATATCAACTCACATATATAGAAGAAATCCCAGCTCATTACTCAGGCAAGTAAACTATGAAAATAAGCCAATCCTATTCACGCTGCTGTCCTCAGCCTTGGTAAAAAGGAGAAGGGAGAGGACTCAAGTCATTCCTTGCAGCATCATCCCCCAACCCTAGCACTCCATGTTCCTCCTTTTCCACTGGAAGCTTCCAACGTCCAACGAGTGAATCTTTCCTGTAGACAGTGCACAAAGGTGATATCAACTATAGAAGAAATAGAAATGGACCAACAGGCTGGTCCAAGGCACAACTCGTAGTGTAGAAAGCCTCTCAGATTTTCATCAGTTCCAGTTCCAGCCCAATGCTTGGCCTAGAACACTTCTTCGTTTGGGTTTTTTTTTGTTTGTTTTTTTTTTTAAAGCAGGAAAACATATAAACTATAGTGCTGATTCCCTCCAGTTTTTTTTTGTTGTTGTTGTTTTTTTTTAAAGCAGGAAAACATATAAATTATAGTGCTGATTCCCTCCAATGTTTCTGGTAGCATCACAAGTCACCTTTGTGCTCCTGGCTTATGAAGCCCTCCCTCCCTTCAGAGGCACTGTAATTTCACACTTCAAAGTTAACCTTTTCATTATGTTAACTAGCAGCTAAAAAGGCTTTCTTAGAAGAAAAATAATTATATAAAAACAATAGCGGATCATCAGGCATTTGTTCAGAATTGCAGTTATCACAGATGGTTCACAGTGCCCTGCTTTCTGCATTAGTGAGAAGCAAGACTCCAGCAGATCACTGCTATTGTGATTTGTGAGGTTTATTCTTTGACCTGGAAGTTCCTCCATGACGTGTTTGGGAGCTAAACTCAAAGCAGCAGCTTACCCAAAAGATGATGAAGTACCAGCCCATCATACAGATCTTCTTCCAGACTTTTAACTACTATGTGTTCCTCTTTCAGAGTTGTGTTAATCCAGTCAATCAATAACTGCGGAGGAAAACAAAGCAGCTGGCAATTATATTCTTGTTGTTTAGACAGTATAGCACTCAGTGCTATATTATGTTTCACCTTTCTCTTCAGTCCCTTATCTCACATCTTGGTTTGCTTTCAACCTCCACTTCCTTTGTGCTTTTTGGTTGTTTTTTTAAAGGGAAGTTAGTTCTGTATCAGTTAGTTCAGTATCAGTTAGTATCAGTTAGTTCTCTCTAATAATACAGGGCTCATTGGCCAATTTGGGGTAAATTTGTAAGTGAGACAGATGTCTCACAAGTCATATTCCTATGAATTTTGTAGAAATAGTTATACAGGTGGAGAGACAGACCCTATTCCCACTTCCATCAGGGAAAAGTCTGCAGAGTACACTTCCCAAGCCCTGCCTTTATTAGACATCGGAGAATTCACACACACATTCAACCATCGGACAAGCGTTTATAAGAAAAGAGACTTCACTCATTCTGTTGGCTGTTTCTTGCAGTCATCCATGTTACTAGAACTCCTCCCTTTCCTCTCCTATTTTTGTTTTCTTTTTCTTTATGCAACTTTATACTAATCTGTCTCCAAATACCATTTTTGGGGCGGAAAAAAGCATTTTGTTTATTTTGCTTTCCTATGTGGCAGTCCTTTCATCGCCCTTTCCAATATCCTTCCTGCCTTTGCAAGGGGACGCTGACCAAGAAGCCAAGGGCTGGCTACAACTGGAAAGGAACCACATTCCCAGTTGCATCCCTTGGGCCCTGCAGCCCCTTCCTTGAGCACTGAGCTCCTACAGGGGAGACCAAAGGAGTTCTGCAGCGTTTCCCCAAGCATGTGTTTTATCCACATATGTTAATAAAAAGGGAAGACGACCTGCTGAAGCAGAACTGAAGAGCAGTAGCCCCAGCTGGCTGCTAATGAGAACCTCTCGAAAGAGGGATGGGTATTGCTCGTATTGCTATAATTGCTACAAGTGAGTGTCTGGAGGTTGCTGTGTGGATAATATCCTTCTCACTCACTGTAAACAGAGGAGAAAATTCATAGCAGATCCCTGTATGTTAGCCAACATTAACAAAAATGTGAAAAGCAGTTTGAAAAAAAAAAAATAATCTCTGAGATGCTTGAAACCGCACACAAAACAAAAATGCCTGGCTCCGGCACTTGCCTGAATTGAGAGGCTGTCAAAGTGTTTGTAATATACTTACTTCCTCAGCTAAGAATTAACAATAATTTTCTAGAGCAGAAAGCTGTGCTCCTCAGCTAATGCTTGCCCGTTAAGACCTGGCAATGCTTTAGATGTGCAAGAGAGAAGTGGTACCTCAAACGTAACGGTACAACCAGATGGAGGTCAGAAAAGCATAAAGTACTGCTGAGTACAGATCCGTGAGATCCCTCATTTGCTGTCTCGGCTCTGAACAGCCACCTCCACAGCCTGCACCTCACACAACTCTGCTTTCAGTCCAGTTGTGGGGGCCCCACTCAGCTGCAGAGCAGAGTGTTGTGTCTAAAAATGAATAAATAGGGAAAGGAGAAAAGGAATACTTAAAGAAGTCTGCTCCTGGCTTCCAAATGTAACCATCTTCTATTTTACATGCAGTTCGATATTTATAGTAACTACAGTGAGCTGTTTCACATTCCCTAGTTCCCCAAAGCCACCTCAAAATGAAAACGCAGTGGAACAGAGTCTTTCTCCCAAGCAAGTTTCTTTGCCTCCCTTATTCTTCCCTTGAAGATACCTCCCTGTCCCCCTCCCCACCCCAATCTCTTCTCTAGAGGAGCCATGAACTCTTTTGATCAAGAAGGCAATCAGTGGCACCGACAGGCACCCAGAGAATTGCCTCCCTTGGGACCCAATTTCCAGCTCCTCGTCATCCAAAGAAAAGAAATTAGGCAGTGAAGAACATTGTTCCAGGAGTCTCTGACGGGAAATGGATTAAGCACTGAAGCTCACAGAAATCTTCATAAACTGAGGAAAGCTCTTCATTTTTGGCAGTCTGGAAAGAACAAATTTGGTGTCTCTGTAGACAGCATAATTGCATTTTGCAGCACCACCTTTCAGATTTTCTCTTTTGTATAAAAACATTATTAAAGCCTGACACAAAAATTAAATCTTTTTGATCAAATGTGCACAAAGGTTTAAGAAAACGTAATATAGAAACACACATATTTATGGATCTATGAATGCCATATAATACGCACATCAGCACATAGCTTAAGCTGGTTTTCATAATATTTATAACAATTTTAGTATCTCTGGAACGCAAGAAGTGCTGGTCTCAAAAGAGACACGCCACTTTTCCTCCAGGAAATTCCAGTATGCTAGCCTTCCCCTGGGCTGCGCCATTAGAGAAACACGGTGATTGAATGCACAGGGGAGATTTTCAAAATTACTTGGAAATAAAGTGCTTTCCCGTGAAATAGGATTCATCCTTCACAGTTACCTCAAGCAGACAATGTACCATGCAACAACTTGAAAGTTTTTCTCCTGACTTCCAGTGGTGACTTGCATACCCTTCATCCCTTCTCCCTCTGCTCTATGCTGTACTCGGCAGGCTGCATCGCAGCAGAGCCAGCTGCCACTGATGACCGGCAGACAGGAGGTAGAAGACAAGACAGAAGACTTGCAAATCAGCACAGCAATACTAGAACTTGTTATCATGGGATCAGGACAGCAAACCTGCATGTATCCCAACATCTCTTTTTAGCCACAGCAAATGCTGATGTGGGTTTGCTTTCAGTCATGGTCCGCTGTTCCAGGTGGGATTCTCTTTGCTATTACAAATGAAGTAGTGACTGGGTACTTCTGATGTGACTCATCCACACGTCCCAAGTTAGGAGAGGTATCATACAAGAAGAAACTCAGTTTTTAAATTGACGCTCCACTTTACAGGCAGCAGTGACCACTCTTAGGTGGGGCAGGCATTTGAAGCTTGGTCTTGTACAGCCCCAGCCACTCTGGCACTGTGCTTAAGCAAAAGCTTTCATTTACTTGTGTGGAGCCCAAGTGCCAAAAGCAGAGCTCATCCCCATCTGTAGAGAGTGGGGGACTCTCTACAGAGAGACAGTGGGGGACCAAAGAGCTGGGTAATTTACAGGGCTGAGCATTAACACAACAGGTTGAAACAACTTGAGGTGAGGGTTAAACAATATAGTAAAAGAAATGGTACCAGTTTTAATTCTTCCAATTTGGGATTGTTGCTTGAGGTCGGTTTTATGAGTTTCTTCTTCTCACCTATGAAAGGAAGCAAACAAGATCCATTACAATTACCAGATATGACTAATGCAAGTTTGCTGTAAAATCTGCTATTAGTTTAATATTACCCAATATCACTAATATTCTGTCCTGGTTTCAGCAGGGATACAGTTAATTTCCTTCCTAGTAGCTGGTACAGTGCTGTGTTTTGGATTTAGGATGAGAACAAAGTTGATAACGCACCGATGTTTTAGTTGTTGCTAAGTAGTGCTT